GCTCTTCTCATCGACACCTCACCTACGTACCCTGGCTCTCAATATCCAGTGCAGAATCTTCTCACCTGTCACCCCTAAAAGCCACGCTGATCTGGAGACAATGAGGCCATATAAACAGGAGGAGCAACTTCCCAGGAAAGAGAAGACTACAGGTGAACCTTGCACCCAGCGTAATTTCTTAAACACACAAATGATCCGGAAGCCAGTTAACTTTTTTGCTTATCCTGTGCAAATATGGACTCTGGATGGGGTCCCAGTGTCTCGGGAAAAAGTGGGTGGAGCGTGCCCTGGACCAGGACAGTCTGGACTCCTGGCGTGAGGACAGCTTGGTCTTCTTTCCACAAAGAGTGGGGGGAGTGTGGAACAAAGCCACTCAGCCAAGCTGTTGAAGCCGATAGCCTGGCTTCTAGCAAGAAACACCTGGATGAGACCCTTGTGTCACTGAGCTACTAACTACCCAGGCGTCTGGATTGGCCTAACCGACCCCCCCATTTCTATACTATAATGCGCTGGGTGAGGCAGTAGTTTTTAAAACTGTAAATCGTGCCCAGGACAGAGAACTCACGGGGTCTGGAATCTTCTGGCTCTTGCTCTAAGCTGGGCAGGTCATTAAACAAGCAAACTCATTTCCTTCTCGGCTGGAGACTTATAGGATTAAAGTCTTTTTACCGCTGCTCGAAACATACACGTCATGAAACGTGCGGTACAGCTACCCATGAAACACGCTAGAGTCGGGAACAGAAATATGAATATCCGGCAGTTATTTAAACACACCGGCTGTGTAACCAAGAGCTGGACTGGGACGAAAACCCCCAGAAGACCCTCTACGAACCGGATCGGAGACACCAGGTGTCAGCACTGACAATCCATGAAGATGGATTTCAGGTGGAGAGCTTCCCGAAAGGTCACTGTCCACACGAAGACAGTGGCGCGATGAACACGCTAAATTATACGATACTTCAAAAACACAGCCTTCATTGCATTTTCAATTGATCTCAACACGCCCAGGGAGAGTTGAAGCCTATCTGTGGCGGTCGCTGTAATTGATGTTTTCCACATCACAGCGCGTTCCCGAGGACTAAGCACAATTACGGAAAACTGTACGAGACAAAATCTAAATCCATATCAGCCACACCACATTATTAAAACGCAGGCCGAAACAGACCATTAAGGACAAGATCATCTGGGGCTACAGTATGTAAGAAGCTTATTGCAGCGGGAAGCCATTTTTTCGCTCCAAACACTTGGTTTGGAGCGAAAGTGCTGGTAAATAAGAGACCGTGAACCTTAAACCCGTTGTCGGATCGACTGAATCCGCAGGAATGCAATCGGCCTCCCGCAAGATACAACCCAGCATGACAAAGGCTACATAACACAACAGATCAGCTGTTTTAAAGAAGACAGAGAAGCTCTTCTCCCTCAGCCCTCCTGAAACTTCAGGTAAACTCAAGAAGTTTAACCCTCCCCAGCCTTATCGACACCCCCCATTTCCCAGCGTTAGTCACTAGCTGATCAAGAGCGATATATGCGCTTCGTTAGGTTTACTGACAAAGTTGTATACATATATACACACACACATCTTCAAAACAGACTGAACATGTACTAATCCGGAGCCAGGAGTGAGAGATTTCGGAATCAAGTGCGAGTTTTGCCACGGGGAGGTTTTCGAAGAAGGTTAGCCGTGATCCCTGTGACAAACGTACAGTATTAGGGGCTATAACCCTGCTGCCGAGTACGGGGACAATGCTTATATCCCCGACCTTATCTGGATGCTGTCTGAACATAATCGACTCCGGAGAACTCGGCAGGAGCAAACCAAAATGAGACCGAACTGCACCGACAGCGGCAGCTTGACCAGCTGGCCGAGCAAGTAACACGGAATAAAGCAGCGCCTCCGGTCTGGAGGACGAGCTTGATCCCGGTGAATGATTAAACTCGAAGCACACTCGGTGCAGTAACATCTAAGTTTGCCTGTGCGGCTGCAACACTGAAAAACACTGCCGAAGAGCTACCTGTGCCGTCGGGAAATCAGATCCGGCCGCAACCCCTCAATCGTCGGGTTACGACAGAAACATTAGCGCCTTTTTTTTTTTTATTCTGCAGATCATGAGCTTACCTTTTTTTATTTTCGTTTGCTGCACACGGTAGGAAAAAGTGATTTCTCACAAACTGCCTGGTTGTATCCTTCCTGCTCTCATGTTACTAGCTCAGTGACGTGCCCCGGGCACTTCCGCTTGCGAAAGAGCGCGTGACGTCAGAGCGGCGCGGGGCCGAGCGGGTGTGCGTCAAGATCAGCACACAAATTGCGAGTCGAAGAAGTCTGTTTTACTTCTTTTCTAAAACGAAAATGCGTTAAATACGCAGCCCGTATGTGTGCATTGCAAATAACCCAGTATACACAGCGGGCGTCTACTTCCTGAACACAGGTTTGGTTCAGAACGCACCACACGAAGAAGGCTCCAAGGCCGAAACGTTGTGTTTTCTTTCTTCTCTTTTCAGCAGGGAATAAACCTGTTACTTGTTCCTTTCCAGCCTACGCATGCTGATGCAGCTCCCCACCTGAACTACATGAGATTATTTTGTTCGTTTATAGGTTCTTTTTAGCTGACATACCTCAACAATCCGAATATAATGCTTTATATTTTATTTCAGCACTTGTTTTCACCTTCTATCTGAAAGTGAAATTGTAGACTATTGAAATAGTCAATAAAGGGCAAGGAAAGGAAAAACAACAACGTTTTTTTCATTGCTTTTGGAAGTGGTAGTCCATACTATGTGAAGTCTGTCATGTCATTGTTTCATATCAACACATACATACTACTAAAAGTGGATGCAGGAATTAAAAGCATTTGTTATCTAATCAACTGGTTAAATGTCAGCTTAGGTTGCAAGTAAAATAAACATTGTACTTCAAAACTAGTTCCAAATACTAAATCATGCTTGGGCCATCTTGTGCTGGGTTCAGTAAATATACTGTATTTTGTTGGTAAGATCGATCTTTATAAAACAACAAAATACTGTCATGAGCGCTCATCGCGGAGTTCTTTGGTTTTGCTTGCCTGATGCTTGACCTTCAGTGTTAGATTCCTGCCGCATCTCTTTGCTGGAGCAAAATCAAATCATTCGTGTGCTAGAGCAAGACACAAGACACCAAACCGTGACTTGGCTGCGAAGGTGATGCTTGTTTCCGAAAACAAGAAAGTGAAAGAGTAACAAAAAGTCATATTTGATCAATCGGAAGGAAGCAACAAAAATATATAAAAAAAAATCAATTAGAAGGGTCATAAAAGACTGCAAATACGGTGTAGAACGATTCCGCCCCACAGCTCTGTCAGGACTCAATATGCTGTAAGTACTTTTCCCCAGACTGAGAAATACATCTTCTGTTAACTAGTTCTATGTTTAGATACTATTCTTCATCAGATACGGCCCGGCCAGCAAGAGAGTGCAGCAGCACCGGCTGTCTTTAACAGCAGCACCACAGACATTTTGACACCCTCATCCATCACAACCAGCAAAGTTCCAGCTCTTTCTAATGTTTCTCCCCAGTTCGATTAAAAACCTTTCATCTTGACAAAGAGCCCCTGTAACTCGATCTAAAAGCCCAGCGCAGTGCCTCAGCCACACCATCACCAAGAGCGCGCGAAAGGGCTTTACTCCTTGCATTCAATGCTTGTTTTGCCAAAGCATCAGTGATCACATAGCGAAGCAGACTGGCTGCCCTGGATCTGAGTTGTTAGTGAAGAGGAGAAAAAAGTACGAAACTGAGAGTGAGATACATGACTTACAACACATTTAGCAGCCATATCACCCTGCAACTCACAACTGGCAACCCACTGAAGCTAAGCAGGTGTGAGCCTGGTCAGTACCTGGATGGGAGACCGCCTGGGAAAAACTAAGGCTGCTGCTGGAAGAGGTGTTATTGGGGCCAGCAGGGGGCGCTCATCCTGCGGTCCATGTGGGTCCTAATGCCCCAGTATAGTGACGGGGACACTATACTGTAAACAGGCGCCGTCCTTCGGATGAGACGTAAAACCGAGGTCCTGACTCTCTGTGGTAAAAAAAAATCCCAGGGCGCTTCTCGAAAAGAGTAGGGGTGTAACCCCGGTGTCCTGGCCAAATTTCCAATTGGCCCTTACTAATCATGGCCTCCTAATAATCCCCCTCTATGAATTGGCTACATTACTCTGCTCTCCTCCCCACTGATGGCTGATGTGTGGTGAGTGTTCTGGCGCACTATGGCTGCCGTCGCATCATCCAGGTGGATGCTGCACATTGGTGGTGGTGGAGGGGAGTCCCCATTACCTGTAAAGCGCTTTGAGTGGAGTGTCCAGAAAAGCGCTATATAAGTGTAAGCAATTATTATTAATTATTATTATTTAAGCCTTAAAATATAAACAAATGAAATAAATAAAGTTATTATACATGTATTTGAGGTCTGCAAATGGAAGCTGATCAAGGTGCCCAGCCGTGGTCCAATGAAATGCCATCTGAGACCTGGAGATGGATCACCAGGAAGTCAAGCCTTCGCAGGAAAGCCAGTTACACCTCACCTGCCTGTCTTTGCTGGGTGGCAGGTGGGAGGAAACTGGAACACACCCACACAAGCACAGGGAGGACATGCAAACTCCAGCCAGAAGACCTAGTGCACCAGTGAGAATATGCCACAGCTGCCCACGGTCAAAGAATAAGATACTGAGGCTGGCTAAGACAACAGGGCCTGCAGCCTCACTCCACTCCAGCAGGAGGAGAGGGCAGAACGGAGCATGGACCTCCACCCTCTGTGCATGATGTAGCAGCTCCTGTTGCCACTGGATTTTGTCCTGGGAAACACGGAGTTCTACCTCTGGCTTTGATTGCTGCAACCTGGGCTCATGTTTATGGTACCATTTATTGGTGTAGAAAGTAGTATTTAAGACCTCAGGTTACAGCATCTTAGCTCGTATAGCAGATGGTCTCATAGCAACTCTTTTGATGACCAGTTCTCACCTTCTGAACAGAAGCTCATGCACTGTCCTTAATGGGTTCACTATTAACCAGTGTCACAGTCGTCCTTAATGGGGTTCACTGTTAACCAGTGTCACAGTCGTCCTTAATGAGGTTCACTATTAAGCAGTGTCACAGTGGATGAGTTTGCTGCGATGCTGATTAAAAGACTTTGCTCTTTTACAGTTTAGGCTGTGCAGGACGGTTTGGGTTCCTGCAAGGTTAAACGTGCACAAGAGTGGCTCGTTAATGTGGAGCCCTGGCATGTGGATACAGAAGCTGAATTCTGCAGGTTACAGAGACAGGGAAGGGACAACATTCTTTTCAAACATTTTGTTTGTGTGATCGACAGACCGAGCTGAGCGAGGGGGCTTATCGGCGACGCGGGGCAAACAGAGCAGTGCGCAGGGTTCAGAACCCGTCCCGCAAGAAGAAGGAGCCAACATGACTTCACTGAGGCAGCTGCGAGTCAACATTTGTGAAGGCGCTCTGCACAGGCAGTGATAGGGGAGATTTAAATTGACAGCAACCTGCTAATGACAGCAATGACGAGGGACCTATCACATCAAAACCATTAGAGCCATGCTGAGGTGACATGATAAAATATCGATCCCCCTGTGATGGATGGCCCTGGAAGATATAAAAGTGAGGCGTCTCCAGTCGCAGGGGAGCAGAACTGACCTCAACACCCGAGGCACGATCATGCAGTCCTGGGCTTTGGTCTACACAGCTGTTGTCCTGTTGTCTGCCAGTTGCTGCCAGGCTTTTCCGCTGTACTCAGGACCCAGTCTGGTGCCGCAGGCAGGTAGGCATGATGAACTGCAGGTGCTCAATTGAACAGCGGGCACCTGTTCTTTTTTTCCACATTTCAGAAGCCGACTCTAAAAACTTTAGCCCTGCTATATGAGTTTACCACACAGAGGGGTTTGTTCAGGTTTGTTGAGTTTAAGTCTGCTGAACTTTTAACTGCTTTACTCCCGAACAGTGCAAAGGGGTGCAAAGTTTTTTTTGTCAGGGTTTGTGCAGGCTCTTAGAAAACTTGATTTCTAGACTGAAGAGTGGTTTGCGACTTAGCACTTAAGCACAGAAAGGTCACTTTTGCACTTACCTAAAACCGAGAATTGAGCTCCACTGGACTGACTTTTATATCTCAGATATGCATACATATTACTAAGACAACTTAGCAACACAATACAAATTAGGGGGTATTACACGATTAAAGCACATTGAAGAAGCTATTGAACTTGCATTTACTGCTTTATTTTTAAAAAAGCAAACAGAAACACAAATTAATGCAGAGATGGGATATGTGTTTGACCAAGCATTGTCAGATGTACTGGACATGGGCTTGCTCAGCTGCATGTGCACCTGTATTTCTGTATATTGGGACCCACTGTGGTGCAAAGCTTTAGTGTATTAAGAGGTATGGCCACATGAAAGGTTGCTGTGGCATAAAACCAGCTAACGTGCAGTGTGAGACAGTCAGAATGTAAATCACAGCGGTACATCATGATGCATCCCATAGGAAGACATAGGAAAGAGATGTGACTGTGGTAAATTTCCACAAGGAGAGAGATTAAATATGGTGAACAGACGTTTACAGGGATCCATGTGAATGCATACCAGGTTTGTTATCAATCATCATAGAACTAAGTGACTGACCAGCTTCTATTCCCTTCAGCTTCCCTCGAGCTGTGAGTATGCTGCGAAAAGGGATGGTCATAATTCATTCCTGCCTCCAGGCTCCAATCATTTGCTGTCTGCCCTTGTCAGTCTTGAGATAAAATGTTCTAGGAGTGAAGGATGGTGAATGTGAAGTCATATGAAGCCAACGATTGCTGCCATGTCTCATTCTGACAAGCGTCTGACCTGAATCTCAGCTCGACTGTGTTTATGAAGGGAAGAGAGGTCAGAGGGTGAGGCGGTGCCGGTTCTTGGTCGCACTGCCCTGCTTGCTGCGTTGCTGTGAGGGGCTCCAGGCATGCTCTTGTTTGGCAGATATGTTCCAGAGGGTGGCCGCAGACATCGAGGAGGCAGAAGGCACAGGAGGATCTCTGGGAGAGAGCAGAGGGCAGATGAAGGGTCTCTACCCTCTCCTCCTGCCGCAGGGACAGGACACGATGAGCAGGCTGAAAGGTGAGCAGGAGCTACTCACTCCAGACACTCCAGACACACCAGACACTCGGGTTCCAGCGCCGTTCATGCCTATTGAACCAAAATCCAGAAGAGCTAACTAATACTTTACTAATCAGACAGTTTTGAATTGTTCTCCTCTCTTTTAAATGAACCTGTACCTATTCATATGTAACTTGAAAACTGAAACTTTGTAAGGGCAGAAAATGATTAAACATTTCGGATCAATCCTACAATTACCATTATTTGTTCAACTGTGTAACTGAATGTCACACATGAAGAGCAGGACTGGGAAGCGTTGCTCTAAAGGGGAAAATGTGGCTGCAGCCAGAACCGGTGTTCTACAAAACAACAGTAATCATCGCCTCAAACATCATACTCCAGCATGCATTCAAGGATGCACGTTGAAACTTTATCAAACAGAGAAAAAAGATGGTAGCTGAAGATATTTAAAAATAAAATGGGCAGGATCAAATCAAACTCTTATTTCCTTTCATTTCAGGCACTAAAGATTCTATCCAACAGGAAAAGCTCAACAACGTGGTAAGAACTGGTACATTTCTTGAACAGTTAATAATAATGATGATGATGGAACTTATGATGAGACTGTTTAAAACTGTTGATTACAATTCCATTGTGCTGTACAGAAGAAGAGGTATAGGATTTTTTGGACTGATAATCTGTCTCTTTGTGACATCATTCTGTAATAGTTTAAATCTGCTGTGAAAAACAGTGTTTACCAGCCGCTGACCTGAAGAAACACCGTCCTCAGATTTTTGGGTCATAATATCAGACTAATTGATTACGGTTTTCTGTATCGGGTGTATCTGTAAATTTGTTTTCAGCACTTAGAAGGACAAATGGGCTCTCTTTCAAGATTTTGGCCTGAAATGTAAGCAACTGGACCTCTGCAGAAGGGAAAAAAAAGGTTAAAGTGTGCGTGTGTGATTCAGTGACCCACCCGCTGTGGACATGTCTGATAGTGTCACTCTGATCTGTGTCTGTTCTTCATGATCGGTAGGAGCTGTTCATTCGGAATAGCAGCCAACAAGCCACAGAGAGGCTGCGTGGAGTCTTGGGTGCTGAAGTTGTCTGAAACAGTGCCCTTGAAGTCATATATTTTAGGAAATTAGATAGAAGCCTAAACAAGCGAGCAGATGAATGAAGTCGTCAGTTAGCAGAGCGGATGTAGAGCTCAGCTGGAATGACAACCAGCCGACACGATGTTCCTCCAGGGCCAGGGCTGGGTCCAGCGGAGCTCAAGTCCTTGCCTGATCTAATACCCCTGCTGGGAAAAACAGGCAGCCTGACTCCCGTGACTCTCTGTCCTTCTGTTTCTGTGCGTCGGCGGGGCTCCCAGGTGGAAGACGTGAAGGCAGCAGTGTTGAAACTGGCGGCTCTGGACAGGCTGCGCACACACAGCCTCTTCAGGTCTGAGCAGAACCCGCAGAAAACGGACAAGAGAGGTGAGGACACAGCCCGGGTGGCGGGGTGAAGCAGCAAGGGCACATGTGCACTGGTCTTTCTCAGGGCCAGGGCAGAGCCAGCCATTCGGGTTAGGGATTAATACACTGGAAGGCAGATCAAGTCTCCCAGTGACTGCTCCTGCACCTTTTAATTAATAGGTTCTGCAGAAAACCAGATAAGCACTGCACCCTAGTTCCCTATCCCAGGTGTTAATAAATATGTCTGCCTGGCCGCCCCCTAGTGGCTCAACTAGTGAAGACACCTATACAGAGTACTGGTGGGGCCTTAAAAGAATGTAATGGCTTGGCTGTCCCATCAGATTGGGAACCTGGGAATCCCAAAGTGTTTGTGCTCAGCTGGTAGATCACCGCTGGGGGCCGGTGGGCTTCAGCCAACCAGAGCTGCGCAGGAGAGGCTGCTGTGGCTTACTGGGTGCAGATGTAATGCCATCCACCCCTGTGCTGCATGAGTCGTCCTCTCATGCAGACTTGGGCTGGCTGGGTTGTGAGTGCTGTCCGAGCTCCACTGAAAAGACCCTGCAGCTCCATCTCCGCCCGATGGCCCAGCTCACATCCACCTGTGACAGGGCAGAAATGGGGCAGCAGACACAAGTGCCCCCTAATGAGATCCGAGACAAAGGCACTAGAGAAATTGCTTCATCAAACCATCTCTCTTCACCTTTCACCTCTGAATGGCAGCCAGTGTGTATTCGAGAACTTCCCCTCTTCTTGTTTCAGCCTGTTTCTGGAAGTACTGCGTGACGAACTGAAGGTTTCCGCCGGCCGTGGAAGAGGACAGGACTAAATTGGACAAACACGGTCCCCACACCCCCTCCCCCTCTCCCGAGTCCCCTGTATGGTCACATTAAAGATTCAACTCGCAGCCTCAGAGAATGTGTAAATAATTTTGTACAGAGGACTTATTATAATAAATAAATAAAGTAAAATACGACGTTTTCTAAGCCAGGCGAAACTGGCTGCTTATTGCAACTGACTGGTTTTAAATGCAATACAAATGCAAATCTTTACACAGTAAGGTGCAAAACGACCAAAATAATGTTCTGAAATCTCTCTTTTTCTTGGTGTCATTTTAAAATTAGGCTTCTGTATCGAAGCAATGAAGAGAACACGTTTGTTCTCTAATAAACCAGCTCTGGTGGTTGGCCTATTACCAAACAAAATATAGGATGTCACATAAGACAGCAGTTTAATAAACAGCTAAATCGGTACACGGTTTTAGAAGTGTTTCTCTCGACGTTCACCGTTTGAAACGCAGATGCAGCGGCGCTCGAAGTCAGTTCAACTCCGGTTTAATGAATAAACACCATTTGCCCACGGGGTGGCAGTATTGCTCCAAATATAAAAATTGGTTCAGTATCTCGTATTCCGCGCCACACCCCGACATTCTGCCTTTGACAGAATTTCATTATTTTGTAGGCGCAGTTTTAAGTCGGAAATAATTTTACCTAACAGTGAAGCTCATGAAATCATTGTAAAATCAATAACTTGAAGGTGAAGACGAAGGCTAGGCCATGGAATGTGGACAACATAGTTTTAATAAAAACACCAGAGAAAACAATAAAGCCATTTTTACAGGTACATACAATAATTGTTTTACAAAGAGTACAATGTATTGAACAGAAGCACTCGCCGGCGCTCTGCAGCCAGTTCAAGGCGTCACACTCGCTTTTCCTGGGTTTTCAAAGCCAGACTCAGACCAGTCCTCTAACGGCTCCTGTGATTGTCATCATTGCCACCTGCCCCAGGGTAGTGTGCAGACACCTCCATACACCTCCAACACTAATGCACGCACATGGGTAGTGTGTAAAAGTAATAAAAAGCACCGTACAGCTCTATTTTTGGGATGTGTGGGATGGGCCATCGAGACGTATTTGCAGGAAGGTTTGAATTCGCCTGCTGAGGTGCCAGCATTACAGCTGCCAGTAACTTTACAACACACTGGGAGACAAGTGTGTTTCCACATTTCAGCCCCACGCAGAGCTGGGCTTCGGGATGCAATAGTAAATGAGATGTTTTAACCCACTGATATATCTCAAATGTTCCATTAAAAAAATGCAGATTATTCCCGGTGAGAACCCAAACTCTATTCCACTCCTATACAGGAGACAAACCACACACCTAAGAGAAGTTCATTTAGAGACACCAGTTATATCAGTAGACGTGTCTTTAAAAGGGAAGAGGAAAAAGGAGCAACTGAAATGTTTTCAATGATGTTTAAAGTCTCCTTGAAAATACCTCACACTTTCAAGTCCATCACTAGTACACTGTATTAAACTATTGTAGATATATCTATCATGTGTTTGAAGGTTACAACATATATATTTATATTAGTTATATCTAAGTGGAAAAAATAACAGAAGGGGTTTATTTACAGCTGGCATACAAGCTAAGAGCAAATGCTTATTTTGCCGCTGGGCTGAAATGATTTTTCTATCACCTGTCAGAACTGCCTGGGAATTGTTCCTGGCTGGTGACCATCATCATCCGTGAGTTCTTTTGCTGGTGTGATTTCTTTTCTGTTGAAGGGGCGCTGAAGGGTCAGGTACCCATTTTAACTGTAGCTAAAGCAAAGCAGGGTATCAACTGTTCTGTAGGGAGAGCTGGACACTGTATGGAGCAACGCAGTTTTTAAAAGGCACAAAACTGTAGCCATCTGTAGCTCTCAGGTGGACACTGTAGACTGGAGCTCTCAGGTGGACACTGTAGGTGGAGCTCTCAGGTGGACACTGTAGTCTATAACACTCAGGTGGACACTGTAG